AAGACGTCTGATGAGCTTTCGGCCATGTGGGCCAATTTTCTTCTTTCAAGGGATCTTCATTTTAATACCGGTCCTTTAGGGACAGTGAATTCAAAGGTTGGAGTTGAATTCTATAACCCTAGTCAGTTTGCTAGGCAATTCGGCCTAATCCAAATGATTCCCATGCCCCCTTATCTTTCCTTTAATAAAAACTTTCATCGGCGTGTGGTATTCCCGGATGACTCTTATGATCAAAATGTATCCTCTCGGTTTTCTAGTTTGCAAGCTGGTTTCAAATTCCAACCTTTCATAAAAAATCCAGCCTCAGATTCCAGTTTTGACCAATGGTGGTCTTCTTACATTGCTTCTACCAGGACGGCTGACTACCAGTCCCTTATTATAAAAATCCTAGAGTCATTCAAATTTATATCTGTTCCCTTTTTATAATTACTCGTACTGTTACCCCAAAGAAAGTGCCTCAAAAAGATCCTCCCAAAGGCAAGAAACAAACAGCCAAGAAACTTCCTTTCTCTCAGCCAACAGATGCTCCAACAAGGATTAATAAAGAAAGAAAAGCTAAAGCCAAGGCCACAGCCAGCCTACTTAAAGGTGTAATCTTCCTTTATTTTCATACATAGGTATAATAAAAGCTTTAGACTAAACTTTCTTACCTTTTTATAGATTCAAATAATGAGACTTTGTCGGCCTCCTTTAACCCAGAGAATGTTGAGCTTCAAGATGATGAGATCTCCTCCAGTTAACTTCATCAGCCTGCAGAAACTAAATCAGCCACCATCCCTGAAGCTCCTGAAGTTCCTCCTCTTGTAAGCAAGGTAAAAGATTATACTTATCAGCCTAAGCAACTTTTACTTTTAGTAAAATAATCATATCGGCCGTATTATCAAAATACTTGGCCGATATTGATATTTGATTCTCGGCCAAAATTGTTATCGACCGAGACAATCTTTAATAAAATTTCCTTCTTCAGGGAAAGAGAAAGAAATCCATTGCCCATGGGACTTTAAAAAGGACAAAGTTTAACAAAGGTAAAAAGCCTGAGGTTGAAGCAAGTCCTCAACCTACAAAAGATGTGGCCGATGACCCTGTGATTGAATTTGCCGATGACCCTGTAATTAATGTGGCTGATGATCCTTCTGATCATTCCTCAGATGAAAAAGAGGTAATGATAATTTTACCTAAGCTTTTAACCTTCATCACTTTTAATAACATCATTGGTCTTTCTTTTGCAGCAATCTCCTCTTCTTGACTTGGTCTATAGCCCAATTAGGAATTTCAGCCCTTTGAAGGATTTTCATGAACCCATTGAGGTACCTTTTAATGTTCAAGTCACTCCTGCCAAAGCTTCATCTCAAGGAGACAGCATAGCTCTTCAACCAGAGTTTCTTCGTAATCAGCCACCCTTGGATGCAGCTATGGCCGAATCATCCAAAGTATTGACTACCTTATACCTGTAATTTTACTCATATTTTAAAAGTTAAACTTCTAACCTTTTTCCATATTTACAGGTTCTTCATAAAAAAATTCCTTCATTTCCTCCACCAAAAGCTCCTGTTTCCTCCCTTCTGGCCTTGAGTAATTTCTTCAAAGATATGGTAGCTTCAGTGACTGAAGAGAGAGAGAGCGTGAATCTTCAGGAACAACTCCAGTTACTTCAGCTAGTGTTCCAGTACAAACTATGGAAGGAACCAAAAAGACTTTGGTTGAAATTTTGCAACGAGATGCTACTGATCTTCCTCAATTTGAGACTGAACTCACGGCTGTCTTTACCACACTCAGCCAATATCCAAATTTCCCAGTCGGCCTTCTAGCCACCATTGCTACTTTCAAAGGTCAACTGCCAGCTTTGGCTGATTAGATTTTCCAGGCCAATGAATTGATCAATCAATTTGACAAAAGCAAAAGTAGTAAGGACACTCTTGGTGAACAGTTGTTAACTCAAGCTTCTATCTTTGATAGAGTGAACAAAGAGTTCGTCAGCCTTGAAGACAGAGAGAGTTCTCCAACAGGAGATCGACCAGATTCATGCTTATAAGTCCATCTTGTTTGCCGAGGCTGCCACATTGCAGTTTGAAGCTCAAGATCTTGCTCATGAGCATGCAAGTCTTCATGAAGAGTTACCTAAATTAGAAGACTCAGAGACAAGGCATCTTTGCTTTCAATCGGTCCTTAGTGATTTGGGCCGATTTCAAGAAGAAATTTGCAGACGTATAAATCTTTTTTCAATAGGACCCTTTTTATGGCCATTTTTAGTGTCTGAACTCGGATGATGTAATTCTTCTACACTTCAATAAATAAATGGCCTCTTTTGTTGCTTTAAACAAACATCAATATTTCAGCAAGAATTTCCTTTTTATTGAAATTTAAACAACTAAATCAGCCTATAAACAAGCCGAATTTTATTACATATGAGTACACATGGTCAGCCAAAGGTACTGGCTGACTCTAATTTTCCCTTTCAAAGATTGTCGGCACATACCTCTTAAGGTACTTCCATTAATGGGGTAATCATGCAATCGGCCACTTAGATACTTCAGCCTGTATGCTCCTCCACTTAGGACTTGATGAACTAAGTATGGCCGTTCCCACTTATGAGACCACTTCCCATATTTTCTATCAACCTTACCTACTGGTAGAACAACTTTCCAAACTAAATCTTCTTCAGCAAAAGACTTAGGTTTTACCCTTTTATTGTAGATCCTCATTACCTTTTTCTTGTGAGCTATGATATGACAAGTCTTCCAATTCTATCAACATCGCTCGAGTATAATTAGCCAGAGTTAGATTATTTTGGAATGCAACTCTAGCCGATTTAACCTTCATTTCCATAGGCAGAACGGCATCATAACCATAAGTTAACATGTATGGTGTGATTCCTGTGCCTGTTTTTTTTTAATTTCTATAAGCCCACAGAGCCTCAGATAAAGTCTCATGCCATCTTCTTGGCTTATCTTTGATCATTTTTTCAATGATCTCTATTAAAATTTTGTTTGAAGACTCAGCTTGACCATAGTATGGTGTAGGGGCTGTCATATGGATGTTCATATTGTGGCCGAATTGTAGCGCATCAGCTGCCCTAAACACTATTGCATTGTTTGAAACAAGTGTTTCTGGAATTCTAAACCTATGGCTAATATGTTGTTCCATGAAGTTAATCACTGTTTGTTGATAAACCGTTTTATAAGTTTTGGCCTCAAGCCATTTAGTAAAATAATCCGTAGCCACAATCACCCAGTAATGGCCTTCGCTTGATGGCGGATTAACTTTACCAATAGGGTCAAAGCCCCAGCCTCTGAACGGCCATAATTTGATTATTGGCTGTAATTCTCTTGCTGCACATTTTGAATCAGCCCATGTTTTTGACAGGCCTAACACCCTTTTGCATAATCTATGCAATCTTTTCTCATCATCGGCCAATAATATCCATACCTTTGAATTAGCCACCTCATTTTTATCCTAACTTGGTGGGCTCCACAGCTACCTTCATGTACCTCGGCCATAACCTAAAGTGACTCTTCTTTACTTGTGCATTGTAGTAGGAGTCCATTTTCAAGGCCTTTTCTGTATAGATCTCCATCAAGGAGTAGAAAGTTGACTGCTCTTCTCTTGATACTTCTATCAGCCTTGATGTTTGGATTTCGTAGAAACATTATGAATGGTATCCTCCAATCATCATCGGCCAGATCTTCTATATCAATTACCCATGAATCGGCCAACATGATATTTCTTAATTCGGCCGATGGCAAGGATCTTCGTGTTATTTTTATCAACTGATCTTCCATTCCAACTGGTACTCTGATTCCAGAGGCTGCTTGGCCATGTTATTGGCCTCTTTATTCTGTCCTCTTGGCCAGAACTTAAGTTGAACATTATCAAATTGATTTATCAATGAAGTAGCCAGAGAATGAAACGGCCTTAATTGCCAACTTAAGCATTTGAAATCTTCAGTAATTTGACTAAGTACCAAGTTTGAATCTCCCAAAAATTTTACATCTCCAACAGCCATTTCAATCCAAATTTCTAGGCTGATTATAAGTGCTTCATATTCGGCCTAATTATTTGACCATTTAAAATCTAAGAAAAATGAAAATGAAGTCTTTCTTCCAGCTGGTGAGATGATAACAATACCTGCTCCTGCTCCTGCTCCATCGACCGTGCTTGATCCATCGAACATCAATATCCAAGGAGTTAGAAAAATGGCTGATGACTCTAATTCATCATAAACCTGTGGATCAATATCAGTCGAAGGATGATCGGCCAAGAAATCAGCCAGAACCCTTCCTTTAACTGATTTTTGTGGGACAAAGATAAGATTGAATTCCATCAAGGCCAATGCCCACTTACCTATTCGGTCAGTGATCAATGACCTTGACAACATATATTTAATTACATTAGTTTGACAAAAAATGTAAACATCAACCGGCCGCATATATATTCTTAATTTCATAGCTGGATAATACAAAGATGAACAAAGTTTCTCAATGGAAGAATATCTGCATTTAACATCAGTTAGTACTCTGCTTAAATAGTAAACAGCCTGTTCCTTTCCAAGTTCATTATTCTGAGCAAGCATGCTGCCAATTGATTCTTCTGCTGCCGATAAATAAAGCTTCAACGGCCTTTTCTTCCTTGGAGGCATCACTACCGGGGGGTTTGCTAAATATTCTTTTATTTTGTCAAAGGCCTTCTGATGGGATTCATCCCAATGAAAATTTTCATGTGACTTCAATTTTAATAAAGGGGAAAAAGCATGTACTCGGCCAGCATGGTTAGCAATAAATCTTCTAAGAAAACCTACTTGGCGTTTGCACCAGTTTTTTGCTGGTTGGGGCCGTAGCATTCATAATAGCCTTGGCCTTGTTCTGATCAATTTCTATGCCTCGTTGGTGTACCAAGAATCCCAAGAAATTCCCAGTTGAGACTCCAAATGCACACTTCAATGGGTTCATTTTCAACTTGTGAACTCTCATCCTTTCGAAGGCCTTTTTCAAGTGTTCCAAATGCTATTTTTTGGCCGATGATTTCACAACCACATCATCTATGTAGACTTCCATGAATCGGCCAATCATATCATGAAAGATTGAATTCATTGCCCTTTGATAAGTAGCCCTTGCATTCTTTAGGCCGAATGGCATTACAACCCACTCAAAAGTACCAATTGACCCAGGACATCTAAAAGCCATTTGGGGAATATCCTCCTCGGCTATATAAATTTGAGTACAACCTGAATGGCAGTCCATAAAAGACATTATTTCATGCTTGGCGGCCGAATCAATAAGTTGATCGGCCACCAGCATTGGATATTCGTCTTTTAGAGTGGCAGTATTTAAATTGCGAAAATCCACACAAATTCTAAGTTTGCCATTTTTCTTTATTACTGGAACAACATTAGATAACCATTCAACATACCTGACCGTTCGGATAAATCCTGCCTTGAGAATTCTTTCAATTTCTTCCTTAATTTTGAGCATCACTTCCATGGACATCCTCCTTGGTGGTTGCTTATATGGCTGAAAATCTTTCTTGATGGGTAATCTGTGTTCTACCAACTTCCGTGTTAGGCCAGGCATTTCTTCATAACTCCAAGCAAAGCAATCCTTATATTCCTTTAATAATTTGATCAAATTCGCCTGGAAATTAGGCTCAAGCAAAGCACTAACAAATAATGGCCGATGATCTTCTTCAGTACCAACATTAATTTCATATAAAGGAACCTGAACCTTTGCTTTATTATCTTCCATCCTGGAAGGGTTTGACTCCAGATCTTCAAGTTGGATTGCATCTACCTTTTCCAAACCTTCTTTAACTATATCGGCCGTGCTGGCCGATACTTCTTCATATAATTGTTCTTCTCTAGCCAATCTCTTTTCAGCCAGATATGTTTTCAGTCTTATGCAATCGGCCCTGAAAGCTTGCCGCTTCTTTTCTTCCTTATTGGCGTGATTCATCAGAAACGTCTTCAATTTCTTTAATGGTTGACCTGAAAATATCAATTTTCAGCTGAACTACTTCTGTCAATAGCTCTTCAATATCAGTATTTACCAGGTTTTTCTTCATTGTTGCTACTGCTGGTCGACCCATTCTATTGATGCCTACAAATTTGATAGGTACAACAGTTTCATCATAAAGTGCAGCTTTGGCCGAATACACCTTAGCTATAAAGGGTTTACTATTGGCCTCAACAATTTTTACCTCATTACCATCCCAAAAAATCAACATTTGATGCAATGTTGATGTGATACACATATTAGGGTGAATCCAATCTCGGCCTAAAAGGAGATTATAGGCCGCAGTTGAATCAATGATAAAGAAGGCCGTGAAGGATGTTTTGCCACCAATAGTAATTTCCAAAGGCAGAATACCTTTAGTATTACTAGATCCTCCATTAAATCTACTAATGGCCACGTTGGTTGGAACCACATCATCCATGGTTTTGCCCAATTTCTTCAAAGTAGTTGTGGAATGACATTTACCACCGAGCCATTGTCGACCAACACTCTATTGATTGGCTAACCTTCAACCCATACTTTAACATACAACGGCCTCAACTATTGTGTTATGGCCAGAGGTGGTTTTTCAAAGATGATTTTATCGGGCCTCAGTTGGTTGGTCTTGAGAGACCAATCCTACCCCGGCCGATGAACTCTTTGAGTCATTCTTGATTTCTGATGATTCAGCCACGTCCTTAAGCTCGGCTGACTTGACATCCCTGTTCACCACTGGCTCTGTCCTTGCTTCAAACATAGAAGGTAAAACAAATACCATATTACAATTTACCTTAACCGGAAGGGAACCAAAGCGAATTCTGTACTTGGCCGCATGTTTTGGATCTTGATCTGGCTGATCATCTTTCTCCTCGTAAGAGGATGCCTCATTCCCAAAAGATATAGCAACCTCCATGTCTTTAGCCTTCCCTGGTTCATCTTCCTTATCTGTTTGAATCTGGTCGATTTTAACCTCTTTTCTTCTAAGTTCTACATTCTTCTTTTGCATCCTTCTTTTCTTCTAAATTGGCCACAAATCTTTCTGACCGAGTGATTCTTACTGCCCTTGGCCTGTTCTCTCTGAATATTGGTCGATTGACTTCTTCAGGCTACTGTCTAGGCTGATGACCCGACCTTTCATGGACACTGCGCTTCCTGGTCGATTGAAAATAGCTCCTCTTGTCTTGATTATTTCCACGGCCCTTACAACTTGCGTAATGGCCGTGATTGATGAGGGCAATTTGAGCCTCCCTCAACTGATTTTCCAAGTTCTTTACCCTTTGCTCATCGTTACTGGCTGATGATGAACTATCAAGAATTTTTGGTAATCTTTCTTGTTTACCATTATCAGCGGCTTTTTCAAGTGCCAAGCTGATTACATTGGTATTTACAATATAAGGAAATGGATCGCTATCAACCCCTATCATTTTTGGCTTCTTTTCAGAAAATTTCAAAATGCCTTCATCAATTGCTTTTTGCAATACATTTCTAAATACATAACAATTGTTAGTAGAATGATTCCATAAATTATGATATTTGCAGAACTCTTTGCCTTTAGAATCAATGGTTGATGGTATGTTATGTCCTTTTGGCAGAACAATTTGTTTGTCGGCCAACAAATGATCAAAAATTTGTTCTGTCTTGGCTAGATCAAACGTATAAATCTTACCAGTATCGGCCGTGCCCTTCTTGGCCGATGAAGTTGATGGTTGAGTACCACTTGTAGATGCCTTTGGTTTCGTTAAAGCCTCACACACATAAGGCTTTTTAATGATAATTTCGGCTAAATTGGCATCAAGATCTTCCTCTTCAATCACATCAGTTGAAAAAACTTCATAATTCGGGTCCCCATAGTACGTACCTTTAGAGGAATTTTTCCGTTCTTTCTCCTCCTTGAGAACCAACTCATACCTGGTAGCTTTCTCGGCCAGGTCGTACATGTCACGAAATGGGACTTCTTCAAACCTCTTCCGGAGTTCAAAATTAAGGCCGTTTAAGGCTAAACGGATGTACTCCCGTTTCGGAAGAGGTACACGGCATCTCAATCTTGCCCTCCTGAACCTTGCAATGAATGTCTCGACCGATTCACCAGGCAACTGGCTCAGCCTAGATAAATCGGCCAAAGTTGGTTCTGTCTCCGTACGGTAGAATTGAATGTGAAATAACTCCTCCATCTGTGGCCAATTAAAAACAGAGTTAGGAGGTAAACGAATATACCATGAAAAAACTGCCCCTGTCAAAGAGTTAGGAAAAAGTCTTAATTTTAACCAGGGGCTCACACTAGCCTCTCCACATTGAACTGTGAAGTGGCCAATATGTTTCACGGTCGATTGATTCCCTTCTCTACTAAAGGTTACAAAGTCAGGGACTTTATATCCTCTAGGGAACTCAACTTGATCTACCCCTTCTAGATATGGAGTTCTATAGATTGGTCGGCCGGCACCTCTAAGTTCCAGGCCATACTCTTGTGTGAGTGAATCAGCTAATTGTCCTCTAGCATGACCTATGGTGGCTGATTTACTACTAGTACCTGATTAAAAACTGGCGGCTGATTAGCCGTTGGTTGATAGTAATTCGGCCAATCATGTGGTTGATTAGCCATATTCTGCCCCCCAAGCCCAACCTGTGGCTGTACATGATTATACAATGGGTTTGGGGTCTCCACCTGATCTGATTGCCCCCCAAGTTCAAAGGTACTTGAGGAGGGTTTGGTATAATTACCTGTGGCTGCGGAGCTGCTACTGGCGACTGATTAAAACCTGACACAATAGGCCGCGGATGGTTCTCTGCCCAAGCTAGTGGTGTATTCACCGGGTGACTTAATGTTGCACCTGGTTGGAGTATCATTATTGGCGGCCATGGCTGTGATGATTCAATAGCCTTCTCTGGCCGATTAGATTGTGATGGATTCGGCTGAAAAGTCGATTCCTGATTATTGGAGCTGCTAGCCTAATTCGGTCTGTTCAAAATGGCAGTTGAGAGTTGGGACATAGTTTCATGCATATCATTATGACGTGCACTCATCCTTTCCATTGTGTCTACCAGGGAGCTCACTTGCGCTTGAATTACTGCTAACTCATCCGTAGGGCCCAATGCAGAGCTCTCAGCCTGAACTGGCTGATGTCCTTCCTCCAGATCTTCTTCAGTAACTACGGCCTTAGAATTTTTCATAAGCCATGGCATTTTTTGCTTCTTCCAACACCCACTAGTGGTCCCACCGGGCGTGCCAAAATATGTTCGCGTGGTTTTTGGTCTTATGCCGGTCGATGGACTTTTGCGGGCGTGCCAGAGTATTTGTATAAAACACTCAAAATATTGAAATGAACACCAGCCTATCCCTTTTTCCGATGGCTGACTTCAGGCGAATGTGTGGGAGAGAGAATAGTAAGAACTCCCCAGCAAGGTTCTTTTTCTGCCTTGTTTACAAGAACTTTTATTATAGGTGTTAAAAGAAATAAAAAAAAAAAATGCAATAACTAAAGAAATTTGAGAACTGGTTGAATTTAAATTGACTTTGAAGAAAGATGGCTGAATGAAAATTAACTGAAAAATAAATGGCTGAATTGAAATGGATGACAATAATTTAATCGATTGCCAATGAAATGGATGACAAGAATTTAATCAATTGCCAATAAAATGGATGACAATAATTTAATCAATTGCCATTTAATTGAAAACATTTTTAATTAAAATAGCATAACAAAATGCAATGACAAGAATTTAATCAATTGCCATTTAATTGAAAACATTTTGAATTGAAATAGCATATTTAAAACTGGCAGAATGGAAATTGCATGGAAAGTAAAGGAATGAAATAAAATAGCCGAATTAACATGACGCGAATCTGATCAAAGATTGACTATTGAATCCGTTTGCATGAAAGAAATGACTGATAATGTAAATAGCATAATTAAAGCATTGCAAGAGAAGAGTAAGTTACTGGAACTTAAATTCTTTGAATGAAATTTGCCATTTAGACAAAAGAAATAAAGATAAATGACGTAGAGTCAATTGAATAAATTTTGATTCATGTTTTGTGGTTGGTGCTGGACCAATTGGAATGAAATTACAACACTTCTATTTATAGAAGTTTTAAATCAACTTATTCCCTAATTAATTGCTCTGAAAATCCTCTTTTCCTTGATTTCTTCACTTCGTAATTCAAACTAGGTCAAAACCCAGTGTTTTTCCGCTTCTTATCTCGTCTTGCTTCGTCTTGCTTCAAATAGAAAATCCTTGCTGAAAACTCTCCTTGATATAGTCAAATGCAAGTTGCTAAAAAGTTGCTGGAAAGTTGCTAATTTTTAGCAACTTCTTTCCTTATACTTGGCCACCGTATCTTCTCTTAAATGGCCTAAAAGCCATTTATCGCTTTTATATTCATGACGCGGCTTCCTTTTGTATTTTTCCTTCTCTTCTCTAACTAAATCCCTATTTCATATGGATTTCATTTTAGCTAGATTTATAGTGTTTCTTTTTCAATCAATAACCAAATTTGAATTAATTCAAATCCTTGTTACAATATATATATTCAGCAACAACCTTATTGATAAGGTGGCTGAAATATATTTCCCTAGATTTTCTCCTTTTGTCTCTCTATTGGCCAACTTTCCTTGGAACCATACTGAACACTTGTCGGCTCCTCACTAGTCCACGTCACCGCTGAGGTGGCTGCCAAGTTTTGGTGCCAACACCAAGTATCCCAATTTACTCAACCCTAGAAGAGAGAAAAAGAAATTGTAAAACTTAAAAATACTTCTTTTCGATCACAAAACAGCAACACAGAAAAACATGTGTAGGCAACGTCACACGATGTCACAAACAACCTACGCTGGCTGTCGCACAAGTAGCAAGGCTGTTGAAAGGTGTGGAAAGGTGCTGGCTTTGATACCAAGCAGAAATCGAACAAAAATGAGAAAATTGTGTAAAGGCGTGAATGAGATGAATCACTCATTCACAGCCCTAGTATTTATAGATAAAAAGAGCACATGCTCATATTACAAGAAATGAAACTAAATCAAATCACAACATATGCTAAAACATATTCTATGGCATATTTAAATCTCTGCTAATATGGTAAGTCATTCTATAAATCGTGGCTATATAACACATATATATCTTGAGAAAATTCAAAATTGAGAAAAATACAACTTAGACAAAAAAATAAAAATTGATTTTAGAAAGAAAATTATGGAGAAGAAACGTAAAGAAATAAGCATTGTTAGAAAATCAATTTTCCTTTATCAATTGTTTTAGTTTTTCAAAAATCTAATATTTGGAAGAAGAAAATTAAGTACTTAGATTCCACTTGGGAAAGATATACCTATATGAAATATTAGATAAACATAATGAATTTTAACTCAATTTTTTTTTTTTTTAAAATTCAACAAGATTATTATTGAGTTATTAGACAAGATACAAATAGTTATAAAATCTGGTATTTAGAAAGTGATAACTAAAAGTATTATTAGCATATATGATATAATTATTGTTATTGAGAGTCTCACAATAATTAGTTTATCTTCTTTCCAAATATTCCTAGGACTTGCTAATAAAGATTGTTATATAATTTTAGATATTTTTTTTGTAAATACCATTTTACAAAATTGTTTGACAAAAAATGCTTCATGCATTTTTTCCAATCATGAGGGAACATTAGTTATTTTATTCCTTTTTTTTTTTTTCTCTCTCTTGAATTAATATTATAGATATTGTATGTGTATGCGATAACGACTATAATAATTATTTACCAAACAAAAAATGACTATAATAATAATGAGCTTAAATTTTTGTTTCATGATATTTGAGCTTTTAGAAGTATGGTTAAAAGAGTGTAAGTTGAATTTTTTTTAAATTTCAAGGAGACACAAACTAAATTTATTTTCAAACTCTTTATTTTGGGTCAATATATCTGTTTTGAAAATAATTGGGGGGCCAATTGAAATTTTTAATAAATTTAGGGACAAAATCTACAAATTCATTAATATATAGGGGCTATTAAAAGAATTTTCAAAAAAACTTGATTGGTCAATATATGTGTTAAAAATACTGGGGGGGGGCCAATTAAAATTTTTAATAGATTTAGGGACAAAATTTGCAAATTAATTAATATTTATGGGTAGTAAAAAAATTTCAAAAAAGTTTTGGGGGGCCATGGCCCCTGCTGGCCCCAGATCCGCCCGACTCTAGAGACAGTACTTTGATTTGTATATTTATCCATTAAGGAATTATTGTAGTGAGCTTTGAGTTGTATATGGACTTCCATTGTTGTCCTGAAATTCTTATCTATTTTTGAGAGAGATTGTAAAGGGTTGGTGGACCCTTGAAGTCGACATGAGGTGCTCACTTAGCAAAGAAATGCAAGTTTAAGGAGTTTTGTAAAGTTTGCTGTCCACCCGTGAAGAAAAGTTGTAAACGTTTTCTCTCCACCTATGAAGGAGAGTGAGATAGTGGATTTTGGGAATCCTCAAGAGGTGCTCTTGAGGCGTGGACAGAGGCGGGGAAGCTGAACCACATAAAGATTTGGTGTCCTTATGTTTGCATTTCTCTAACCCCATCTCTTTATCTTTGAGTTTTGCATTCCCTATTATAGTTACATTTGCTATATTCATTTGCACACCAAGTGTTTGAGAAAAATTGAAAAACTACTATATATATCAAAAAAAAAAACTACAATAGTCTTCCCCCATCCCCCCCCCCCCCCCCCCCCCCCCCCCCTTCTCTCTTGGGTCATTGGGCAACACTGTTGATCTATCTTGATTTGTGGGAATTAGTTCAGAATCATTGTGTAGAATATGATAATTTGTAAGGGAGAATTACACTTGCTCAAAGAACAGAGATGAAAAAAAAAAAAAAAATGCTAAGGCCCTATCCTATTTTAGCAAAAGGCTTGGATGACGGAAAAATCAAGCGTTGGAATCAAAAGAGTTAATCAGTCTGATGGAAAAGAGGCAGTCATCAAAGTAATGGTGATATACCCGTATTTTATAATTGAAAAAAAAAGGGGCCCTATTGAAAAACATTGTTGGTACAGGAATAAAGACCCCAATGTTCCTTGGTGCTCCATCTATATAAAGAATAGACACGTAGAAAAAGAGTTTTGGTACAATCCTAAAAATCAGCTAATTTTCATGAAGAAAAAGGTGACAATGAAATGTCAATGAAGAACACTTGTTTGTATCTTACCTCATTGCCACTACAAAAAATATTTGGTAACCGATAGCGGCTTTAGTAATTATATGACTAGTGATAAATCTATTTCTAGAAACTGATGGATCTCTGACATCTCAGGTGTGCATGGGGAATGATAGCCAAGATCGAGTTCGAGGCAAATGAGTAGTTGCAACAAATACCAAATTTGATAAGAAATTGATTGATAAGATTTTATATGTGTCAGGTTTGGCTCAAAATTTGATTAGTTTGTGGTAGCCAATGAAGAAAGGTTCTTTAGTCATTTTAAAGATGATAGATGCATGCTATACAACAAAGGGAATAAGAAATTATTATTATATTTAAGAATTTCGTTTTCTTTTGATTTTTTAAGCTCAGAAATGAAGTTAATCGGATAAAAATTGGGTCACTAGAATTTTTTTTTTCTTCAGAACATAAGAATGCTGCAATGCAATTTTGAAACATATTGAGTTAATAGAAAATTAATACTAGTTTTTAAAAAACAAAAGCCAATGGCCAATGTATGAACAAATTAGTTATTACATTTATTATATTTGGGGATAAAAGGAGTTAAATAATTATATAAAGATATACTCCGTATTATATTATTAGATGTTGCTGTGTCTTTGTTTCCGTGTCCTATTTTTTGATACTTTGTCGTATCACCGAATCCCAGTGTTTGTATGTGTGTTTCATAGGTGTGGAAGCATTTGGTTTGGCATTTTGCACTGGAGTGCTAAAAGTAGGAATTTTTTAGCTTGTGTAGAACCTTATGTAAATTGTCTATTGGCTTATCACACCAATTATGGCTGCACCTGAGTTAATTTGAGTTGATCTAAAATGAGTGCTTCATTGACCCCACATTCATCTCCTTCTTAAGATGGCAATTGGCTGAGGGTTACATCCATAAATCCTTCTTAAGATGGCAATTGGCAAATGGAGTTCATCTCAAGTTTACTTCTACAGTGATAAGCACGGTATAGGAGTGATCTGACTCTGTTTTCCTTTTTAAGTATGCAATATGCTCTGTAGGGGCTCTTACTGAAATTCTGCAGATTTTACTATTGGATTTGTTAATTGCATTGTTTAATACTAGATTGGTTTAGAATATAGCAAATGATGGAATGCTTATGCAGCAAAAGTAAAACATCATAGATAAATTGTCATACACTGTTGATGGTAATTTTTTATTCTGTTCAAACTGTTATCAGGTTTGTTTGGCATTTGGCAATATTAGGCTTTTAGCATTTTTGTCAATAAGCTTATAACTTCTTTCGGCAGACATCACAATTGCCCAAATGGTTGAATTAATATTCCAGCATTCGTAACCATCTGGTTCTAAGGCTTCCATTTGTAAGGTATAAAGGCCAGCAGGTGTTTGTTCCTTGTCCAAATACGTGAGCATACGAAGCTTCTGAAAAATCAAAGTAATTCTACCAGCTAGCACTTTATCTTGATGTAAAGCATACCATTTTGATCCTTCTTTGACATTCCCAAAGGCAAATACTAAATCTTATGGGATTAGCTTGTGTCGTGTCTCTTTAATTCCCAAACTAATATATCGCGTCTTGGTCCCAAAATGTTTCCATCTTATTAATGATTAGATTGCTTATTAATGAGTTGAAGTGTTTAGAATGTTATTGTTACCCTTTGAGGAGAACATGGAGTTATTGTTTTTGTATGGTTATTTTCGCTCTTTGATTAGCTGCACTTTCGCTGCGTATGAAAAAGATCCCTCATCTGTCTTCCTTTGTAAACCATCCTTGCATTTTGGTAATATTTCGTGGTTTCTTATCCCTGAAAAGAGAGAGAAAAAGAACAACTGAGTTGAATTAATAATTTTCCTTGTTTTAGGCTGATTGTTCATAAAGAACCATATGAGCTTTTATATGATAGTTTTATTTCTTGATTGACTATACGAATATCTTGGAGATCATTTTGAAGGTTCATGGCTTTGCTTTGAATGTAACAAAAAGCCGATAATGTTAAATAAAAAATCTAGTACTGAAGGAGATGAACTTGCTTGTTTTCCAAATTGGGCTGTCTTTAAATCTGGCGGGGACCAAATCATTTTGGTAGATAAGGTAAAAAATGAAGCTTTAATATGGGTTTTTAGAGCTCACACAATCTCCCCTGCTAATTTATTTTTAACTGATGCTAAAATGTGTACTAGACATGGAGACACTTTTGATGAAGCTTGCAGGACAATGATGTTGATTATATAATTTATATTATTATGTGTTAATTTACATGTGATGCATTAGTGTGAAGGCATTTTGGTTTGGCAATTTGCTCTGGGTGCTATAATTTTTAAATTGTAAGCTCATCTAGAATTTTTTTGTAAATAGACAATTAGCTTACCCCTCCAATTAAGATTTAAGGCTGCAATCAAGTTGGTTTTAGTTGATCTAGGCATTACAATGAGTGCTACATTCAGCCCACCTTCAGGTCCTCCTCAAGCTAGCAATTATCCCGGTCCTGATTTTTGGTAAGATAAAATTACCCATTGCATTCAGTCAAATTCATTAGGGTTTTGTGTCACCATGATGGGGTTCTGTTAGTGATTAGCAATCACAGAAAATGTTCTCAACTTCATTTGTTTTAAGTGAATTTTATTAGGGTTCCATCGGTAATTAGCAATCACACTATAAATGTTGTCACCTGTCTATATCCTTATCTTTTATTTTGGTGCAACTAGTTCAAGAGAAAATATCTTGGAAACTCCAAACACCACGTCAAATGATTTGAATTCTGAACTGAACATAATTATTGGATTTGGGTTCCTCTGGTAATTAGCAATCTCAGAAGGAGCAAGACATCCGCGGGTTGAGTCGGTGTCCAATGATGTCCAATGGCTGGCAATGAGTTCCCAGGGCACAAAAGAAGAATAAAAGAAAAATAAGATAACTCGCGGATAGAAGGTAACAGATATATGTTTTGCCTTCATTTACTGCTACCATTCATTGCATATTGGCTGATTGTTAGACTTCAGGATCCTGGTTAGAGCTTTCCATTGAAAAGGAAAAGCAACGAAGGGAATGATCAAATAATACTAGAAGTTTAAGCTTGTGAGATGAATTTGTACTGCTCCAGGTATTCATGTTCCACTGCTCGATGCCATTTTTCAGGTAATTTTCTCTTTTCCTACGTATATTTTTACTTCTCTGGTTTATGGACTAAGGTTGGTATTCTGTTTTGCAGATCAGTATGCATGCCAGGTAACATTTTGCATATGAATCTCCTTTCTCTTCAACCACAGCTTAGTAGGAACTGAGTAAGTGAATGTATTAATTACTCTGCATATATTTCGGCATCAGTAACCATAGATTGTTAAAACAGCCTTTGTTGCAATGATATATCATCCTTCTAGCGCTATGTTCTTGTCTGTAGAAAATTCTAAAACCAACAGTCTGACCTTGTTGCAATACACAAACATTCTACTTGAATCCTGGAATATCCTAAGCTAAGTATTTTGCATTACAAGGTTGAAATCTCCCAAGTCCCAACTATTTCTTTTGAAAATGTCTCCTAAGTCCTAACTATTAATTATGTTAAACAGCCTCACCACATATACCACCAATACACCAGTTCTGTTGTGTCCTCTTTGGCTTAGGAGTTGGTTTGTGTGGCCAGACCAACCTCTAGGTCTAGAGTTCGAGGATTGGTATAGAAGAAGCAAAAACATATACCTCCAATACACTCCCACTCTTATCCAATTTATTAGTGGGTATCTTCTATCCCACAAAGTTTTTTACTCTAGTTTTACATATACCTTTATATGGGTTATCGCTTGGTGTAATGTTAAAAACTCAAGCGATGATGTTCATTTAAGTCTTGAGACCTAGGGTTTTTTTTTTTCAATGTTTATTTTGACATGTTTTTTCATAAAATTAATGGTTGCTTTAACACTCAAAATTGTGTTTTCTAACTTGTTAATTCGGGAACTAAAAAATATGTTCAAATATTTGATGTAGTTGTAAACCTTTTTTTTTCCTTATCTTTTTGAACATCTAATAGAATCTTGTTTAAAAAAGAAAAAACCATTTTATCCCGACTCCACATTGATGATGATTAGCAACAAGGTTGTTTCCAAGAATTAAAGCCACCCAGTAGTTATTATTTAGCAATTGTAGTTCCAAAAATCAGTATCAAATTTTCAACCACAATTTGTTGACACTATCATTTTCTTAAATTACATAACATACATTTCCTTTATTGCAATATATCCAATAATTATTTTTTATTTCACCTTAGAAAAGATACACTAATGTAAAGTCTTAATCTTAGCTACTGGGTTTAAAATAGGAAAATTCTGTGATGAAGGCATCATCATAATTTAGAGACATAATTGAAGAAGTCGGTCACATGATTGAATGGTAATGAGGGAGTGTGGATCTGGATCCTCTATTGTACGTCTTTTGGTGTTGGACACACACAAGATATTAAATTGAGATGCAACCCCATTATTTTGAAGTTTGAAATAATGTTGTTGCATCTCAATTTAATTTATTGTGCAGCGTATACAGCACACTACAATACCAAAAGGCGTCGAGAGGATGAACTTAGCTAGTCACCCCATTGCATTAATAAAGTATTTTAAGGCCGTTGATCTCAGCTGTTTTTTGAATTGAAAGTACTGTACGCGTAGCCACGCTAAAAGCGTTTCTTCTCTTCATACCGTTAGAGCCCCATCTTCCTCATCTCTCTCTACTGAACTCCTCTCTTCTCTCTTAAACCCCTGGTCTCTTTATCAGAGCCTTTAAACTTCATCTTCTTGGTTTCAGATTTCCGAGAAGGTAAAGAAAATTGGCTAATATGGTTAGACATTTCCAGGACAATCTGGGACCTAATGTTTCAAAGGCTCCAAAACATTCTCAATCACATCAGATTTGGTCGTGTCTGCACAGAGTTCTGATCACTTGTGCTCCCTAAACAGCCCCATCGACAACTCCAGTCTCTCATATGGCAATGTCTACAAAATCCACATCCCAGAACTCAATGGCAAGTGATGTTATGGCTCTTCATTCGGTTGGTTATTCACCATCAATTTCATCACCGGTGATGATTGTTGTTAACAACCATCTACTCTAAAAGCAGCTTAAGCTTTTAGAGAGGATGTAACTTCAATATTTAAATCCTTTAACACGCCCCCCTTCTTTTGGTCCAAACATGTTTCAATTTAATTATCAGGGTGATGGCAAGGTTGTTAGGGTTAGGATTCTATGAAGGATCGACAAGGGGTCCATAGGATCGGGATCGGATCGAGGATCGTAAACTTCTATAAAACTAATAGAAAAATAACTTAAACTAAATTTAATCAAATATCTTCGATATACGTAGAGAATAAGGCTAAATATCGAACATGAGACGGTCTAACAAAATCAATTAACATTAAAAGATGGCAGGCACTGGACCTTCTAAATCGAAAAAAAATATCTTTGAAAGCCGGTCTTCCTCAACAAGCACCCTTATTAGTAAGGTTGCTTGTTTCCACTCGTTGAAGAATCTATCAACAAATAGGGTCTACAGGGGATATTCAAATTGCCCTCACTGACACCATCTACAAGAAGGTGAGGTCGTCTTTCGTTCTGGCCGCCATACGGTTCGCCTTAAAGCCTTAACTTGCATTTGAGGGGAGGAGCAGTTATCTATGTAATTATGGTCTTTGTTGGCCGTTGTTCCGGTTGAGCACTCTCTTTTCTTTGTCCAATTCCATCTTACCAACACGCAAAGGGTTGTGAGGCTGGCCTAGGTATCTATATCTGTGCACGGAATTAGCTGGCCAGTGGCCACTCAACTGTTCGAGTGCAATGCAGTGGTGGTTGGTTCCGATTTGACAAAGGTAGAATGCCTGGTCTAATGTAAATCAATTTCTTATTTTCCTCTATACAAAAGAATCAACATAACAATCAAACAGAATTTCACAGAAGAAATGAAAGTAAAGCCTAAACGAATAGAAAAATGGAACAGAAAAACAGAGAGAGAAAAGTACAATTTAGTTGCCTAATTGTCTAGGCAATTTAGTTGAAAAGTTTACTTTTTGGTTCAATAAAATAACAAAACAGAGATAGAAAGAACAATGGGAAAAAAATGAAGTATATCTTTGTTTTTGTTTCATAATGGATAAAGATTAGGCAGAAAAATGGAGTTCTTTCTGCCCCATGTTCTGAAAAAGAAAGGAAAAAAAGAGAAATTAAAAAGAATAAAGAAGCCCAAGTATCTTGAATAACGCAAAATAGAGAAAATTTTTGACGTTTTGGGCCATACCTTTGAAATTCAGAGTTGGATCATCTCTATTCTTATTTTTTTTAATACAATTAGGCTAAAGAGTTTGGCTTTATATTTAAAATGATGATTCGACTGATCGGGATAGATTTGGCAATTTGGGATTGTAGGGTTGTAAGATTCTACGATCCGGATCTGGATTTTGACAACCATGGGTGATGATGAGGTTCGAACTTGAGACACTTGGCTCTAATACCAAGTTAACAACCGTCTACTCTAAAAGCTTAAGCTATTAGAGAGGATGTAACTTTAATATTTATATCCTGACAGACTTTTGTTCATTGGCCTTTTTGCATACCCGGCTATGATAAACGAACTAATTTACCAAGAATCCATGTACCTTGTGAGGATGTTATATACCATATGAACATATTCTATATGATTACCAATTATGGGGAACCTACAGCTTGGGGCATTTCAGATGTTGATGCTCCAGAAAAGACCACAATCAGCGGACCAACATATGAAATGCCGCCATGTAAATGCTACTTGGCATAATTGTTTCATGGGGAGCTTCTTAACATTTGCAGGATTGTGCATGGAGATTCTGGCCAAACGGTTATGTTTCAGGTTTGCATATTCGATGAGGAGAAGAAGTGGGTAGATGAATGCTTGTCCGGCCAAGCATTGTTCTTGGGGGTATAATTGAGTGATTTATCTTTAGACTTTGGAGAATTCGGAGTGCAAAGAAGGTGAAATTTACTTCACAGATGATGATGCAGATAAATTACAGGCCTGTGAAAGTGTTTTACTGACATTCTGCATTTTTACTATTGGCACTGTTATATTGCAAGATTTAATACTTGATTGGTTCTGAATATGGTAAAACGGGATGCTATGCTGCAAAAGTGAAATATTATTGATGGATCGTCATATATTGTTGGCGGTAAATTTTTTGTTTTGTTCAAATGTTACCTGGATTTGCTTGGCATTTTGGCATTGATTCATTGCCAGTAGGTCTTGATTTCTTTCATTTCCAACATGTTATGGGGGCATGTTTACAAAAGGGGCCCAAGCCCAATTGCTCAATTATTGACCAGACTCTTCTTTGTGATGACCATTGTAACTATTTCTTTTCTTTTGTTTTTTTCCCTTGTTGAGGATTGATAATATGGTATAATTAGCTTTAAAGTTTTCAAATTGGATGATAGGATATCAAAATGCACATTGAAGTACCAAGTTTGAGGCTCTATGCATAATTCTTGGGTTAAAGTAACAATTTTGAGACATTTGAACCCGAATTATTTCTAGGGGTATTTTGGTACTTTCACACTTGTTACATGGCCCTAATTCTATAGGAGTATTGTTGGGGGAAAGGTCGTAAATCATTTTTTGCTCTTCATTATAGTGAAATCTTGGCTACACGTGGACGTGGCTTTAGTTTTGAAAGAACAACATAAATCTATTTGTTTTGCTTGTGCTCTTCGTTACTTTTTCCGTTAATTTTTTTTTTCTAACATTTACTATGATATGGTAGAATTTATACCTTCTTTTATTTCCCAATCCTCCTGTCTGGGTCACACCATGATCAAACTTTTCTGGTCAATTTAATTTGTGTTCATAAAGTTGTAGCAATGACTTTTTTTTTTTTGGCTTTTCATGTACCCAAAGGTTGCCCCCACCAACTTAATGAGAGTCTTCTTTGACTACACACTGAGAAGATAATGGAAACTCAAAACCTATATGAATAAAAAATGAGTCTCCTTAATAACTTTATGACTATTGATTACATGGGACTCTGTCTTTCACACACAAGACTGGAACAGATATTCAATGTCATTCAATGGTTGTACAACATTTTGACTGGTGAAATTGATACCACACCAATTTACATAGGAAAAACTTGGATCCCTAGTTGATTTTTTTGTTCCATAGAAAACACTATCATGCTGAGATGGGCCATATTTCTCATTTAGAATAATTTAGCAGTGAAACTTAGGGTATGTTTAGTTTGTAATTCTGGAAATAATTTTTTATTTTCAGATAATTGAAAAAGAGACAACTGTATAAAAATTCTGCTTGATTTAGTTATCTGAAAACATATTTCTATTTTTTAAGTTTTTTAAAATTGTCTTCAGAATTGCAAACCAAGCAGACTTAGTTTCTTAGATTTTTATTCAAAAAACATGATGTTGTTTGAGAGAGATTATGAAGTTAAAGTCAGAAATTAAAGTCCTCACACTGTGCAGCTTCGAGAAAGATTATAATTGGTCAATCATAAGTTGTAAGTGTTGACCGCTTGAAAACTAAGAAAAAGACTTGAAACAAACTTAACCCTTGATATTATTTTATTATCAATTAACTATTTTCATAAAAACAAGCAAATACAACTTTTTTTTTTTTTTTTTTACTACAACAAATCAAACCAGATAGATAATAAACGTTTTCATATGTATAGTTTGAATTGAAAAAAAAATAAAAAAAAAAAAAAAGAAAAGAAAAAAAAGGTAAGGGGTTAAATAAAGCACTAATGAGTTTGAATTTGTGACCACAATTGTTGAAAAATTGTAAGTGGATTGGTCCTCAACGTGCATTGCATATAGATTTAAAAGGCGAACATCATCTCCACCATTATACGCCCACAGAGTCCCATTGGCCAACATACTTAACTTTTCTGTCATTTTGGGATGACTTTGGAGACTTCCATGTCCTCTTGTGTTTTTGTTTGTGTCTGTGAGAGAGAGTTCTGATATTCCCTCCACTAAATTACTAATGGGGCTTAGACTTGCCCATTAAAAAAAGACCAAGTTATTTAAATTGAGGACTTCAAAAAAAAAAAAAAAAAAAAAAAAAAATGTCCTCTACATAACAACTTGTATGAGAGGTGGGATTCAAGTTTTGATTAGCATCTAACCTTTTTGCTTATTTGGTTGGAAGTTGGAAGGAAGGATTGAGGGTGGATGGATGAGAGAGAAGATAAAATGATTTTTTCGTATGTGATTGGAGGGAAGCATCTGTCCTTACTTTGTATATTTCTATCGATTCAAAATTGGGAGAAGAGGGAAGAGAAATAAGGGGATAATTACTACAAATATGTAGTTTTTTTCTTTAACCTTCTCAAAGTTTTGAAATGGATATTAAATTTTTTTAATTTTATATGAGGGTATATCGGTAAAAAGAATATTAAATTCTTCTTTCCCTTCCTTCCAATGGAAAAAAATATATATTTTTATCACTACATTCATCATTTCTATTCATTCCATATGGCCAAACAAAACGTGAGAGAAACACCTTCCTTTCCATAGGATACCTCATCCATCCCTTTCCCTCTCACTTCCATCTATTTTTTCATCCCGCCAACCAAACGGAGTATAAGTATCAATTTTTTATTTTTAAAAGGAATTTAGTTTTATGTCCAACAAAACAAAGTACAATGCTAAAAAAGTTTTGAAAAATGCTTTTGAGGAGGAAAGGGTTTGATTGATGAGGCGAGTGGAAGACCCTTGGTTCCTTAGATCGTTAAGTTTAAAGTGGAACCATCATGTGTCCCACTTCAATCAATCTAAAGGGCTAGAGTCTTCAGCTAGACTGCTCAGCCCCAATAGCATTGTTCGAAAGTTGTGTCTTAATTTTTTATTTTTATTTTATCTCTTATGAGTTTCTACACTATCTCTTTGATTTAATCATTTTCGGGAGTTCAAAAATGCAGGAGGGCCAATTATCTTCCACTTATTTTTTGTCGATGATTTAATCATTTTCTGCCAAGCATCAAATTCTGAAGTTTTGCACGTCAAAAATACATTGAGGGCGTATGAGAAAGCATCAGGGCAACAAGTCAACTTCACCAAGTCAGTGATCTTTTTTTAAAAAAAAAAAAACTCTTCAAGGGAGTTGAGAGATTCTATCAGTTGACTGCTAGGAATCACAGAAGATAGGCTGAGTGCAAGGTACCTGGGCATGGTAGCTGTTATTGGGCACTCAAAATCAGATGTGTTTAATTTCTTTCCCATAATTTGGTAGCCCGACTTGCAGGATGGAAGTCTCATCTTCTCTCTTTTGCTGGTAAACAAGTTCTTATCAAAGCTATTTTGAGTGCCCTTCCAACCTATGTCATGTCCTACTTTAAATTGCCGAGTAAGCTTTGTCTTTAACTCATGCAACAATTTAAACAATTCTGGTGGGGCAATATTGATAAATACTATAAAACCTATTGGGTGAAGTGGAATTGATATGTGAAAGTAAGAAGCATGGAGATCTTGGATTTCGCCACCTTGAGGAATACAATGATGCACTTTTAGCTAAACATGCATGGCATTTTCAAAAAAAAAAAAAAAAAAAAAAGACGGGATTAGCCTATCAACTTCTTAAGGAAAAATATTTCAAAGACTGCTCATTCTTGCAAGCCAAACTAGGATCCAAATCTTCCTGGGCATAGAGTAGTATATGGTCTACCCAATGAATCATTGCAAAGGGAGCTCATTAGATTGTTGGGAATGGACAAAGTATTGATTTATGGGTAGGCCACAAGATACCAGGGATCTTTTATAGTCTTCATCCCCTAGAGAGTTTTGTGACTCCCAATTTGGTGGCTGATTTAATAGATGCCCTGTAATACCCCGTAATTTATTAAAGAGTTTAGTTATTTAAATTCAATTATGTGTGGATTCCTTTACCTATTATTGTGCATACTGCATTGTTATATTAAGTTCATTTAATGGTGCATGTAAATTAATTGTGTATGTTAAAATAGTAAATTTATTCATTTAATTGTGCATGTATTATTATAATTAATTTTATTTGTTGATTATGTTTAATTAAGCAGTATTAGTTAATTAAAGTATTATATTTGTGTTATAAAGTATTATGATGATATAATGTATTCTTATGTAAAATTATAATAATAATAATAATAGTTTAATAATATAATAATAATAATAATAATATAATAATAATAATTATAAAAGTTTATTAATAATAATAATAGTTATAATAATAATAATAGTATTAAACCAATGTCATGATGAAATTAGAGATTAGGATAGGATTTCATCAATGTTTATGGGTGGACTTGAAGCCATATGGTTGGGAAGATGGTTAGTAGATGAAAAAAATTAGATATTTGTAATATTTATATTATATATTTTGTATATAAATTAACTAGCTTACCTTAGAAGAAAAGAAAGGGAGTTAGAAGCAAAGTATAAATTCTAGTGAGCTATTTTATAAGAGTGAAAGGAAAAGAGAAAGGGAAAGAAGCTTGGACCGGTGTAGGCGATTTTACCCGACTACGCGCAGACCGGCGGATTTATTTTAAATCCAAAAAGGCAAGTTATTATCTATTTTTCCCCTTTGAATTAATAAATTAATTGTTTAGTTTATTTATATTATTTTAGAGCATAGAGACCATGTAAGGAGTTTAATAAATTAGGAATTTTAGTTTATTAAATTTGTGAAATTTTAATTATATAGGATGGTATATATTTATTTAATGTCCTATGAAATTAATAATGGCTAAAAATAATTAAATAAGGCTTTAGGGATTTTTCTAGAATTTTCTAGAATTTTTCAGGATTTTTCTGTAATTTTCGGCGAGACTTCGGCGAGATTTCCGGCCACCGGCAACGAGGAAGGTGACCGAAGTGATCCCATGTGGTGCGGCGCACAAGGCTTACTATGCGCACGCATCAGTAGCGGTTAGATTGGATTTTAAATCACAGCTCGATTCAGTGTAGCGTAGCACACAATAGCATGGTGCACGCAAGTCAGGAGCCGTTGGATTAAAGGAGGAGCCTTGGATCAATCCAGTGTAGCGCGCCCACATAGAAACGGTACAACCGACCAACCAGCACACGCCGCGTCATCAGGATGCACTAGTGCGCGCGTGGCAGCGCGTGCGCGCGCGTGGGACTCTCCAGACGCGCGTGGGAGCGCGTGGCTGATGCCAGACGCGCGTGGAGGCGCGTGGGAGAGTGGGGAAGGTTGGGCTGCGCG